TAGATAGATAGAGATAGGTAGACAGAGAGATAGATAGAGATCGATCGATAGGTAGATAGATAGATAGAGATAGATAGACAGATAGATAGATAGGTAGACAGACAAATAGATAGATAGATAGATAGATAGGTAGATAGATAGATAGATAGATACATAGATAGATACATAGATAGATACATAGATAGATACATAGATAGATACATAGATAGATACATAGATAGACATAGATAGACATAGGTAGACATAGATAGACATAGATAGATAGATGGATAGGTAGACAGACAAATAGATAGATAGATAGATAGAAAGATAGATAGGTAGATAGATAGGTAGACAGACAAATAGATAGATAGATAGATAGGTAGATAGATTAGATAGATTAGATAGATTAGATAGGTTAGATAGGTGGATACATGAGATAGATTAGATACATTGGATAGGTCAGATAGATAGATGAGAATAGATAGATGAGAATAGATAGATAGATGAGAATAGATAGATAGACAGACAAATAGATAGATGGATAGATAGATAGATACAGATAGATAGATAGATAGAGATAGGTAGAGATAGGTAGAGATAGGTAGAGATAGATAGAGATAGATAGAGATAGATAGATAGATAGAAAGATAGATAGATAGAGATAGATAGATAGATAGATAGAGATAGATAGAGATAGATAGATAGAGATAGGTAGAGATAGATAGAGCTAGATAGAGATAGATACAGATAGATAGATAGAGATAGATAGAGATAGGTAGAGATAGATAGAGATAGATAGAGATAGATAGAGATAGATAGGGGTAGATAGAGATAGATAGATAGAGATAGATAGAGATAGATAGATAGAGATAGATAGAGATAGATAGAGATAGATAGAGATAGATAGATAGAGATAGATAGAGATAGATAGAGATAGATAGAGATAGATAGAGAGAGAGAGATAGATAGATAGATAGATAGAAAGAGATAGATAGAGATAGATAGAAAGATAGATAGAAAGATAGAAAGATAGATAGATAGATAGATACATAGATAGATACATAGATAGATACATAGATAGATACATAGATAGATACATAGATAGATACATAGATAGATACATAGATAGACATAGATAGACATAGGTAGACATAGATAGACATAGATAGACATAGATAAACATAGATAGACATAGATAGACATAGATAGACATAGATAGACATAGATAGACATAGATAGATACTTTTTTAAATAAATAAATAAATATATATAAATATGTAAAATAGGTATAAAAGGTAGATACAGACATATGAATGGCGGACGAAATTCATCGTTAATTTTCATGCCATGCGTAAATTTAGGTCGTCCCCTATCGGTAGTGAAGATTTCCGCCTTCAAAGACTTTGAGGCGACTCCTGCAAAACAAGGCCCCTCGGCAAGGCTAAGGCGAAGTAACTATTTCAACAGAATTTGGAAAAATACTTAAATAGGTAAAGGTAGAGAAAACAATATGGATAAAGAACGAGAAAAAGAAATATGCATACAGAAAAACAATGAAAAGTAGATGTAGAAACAAATCTAGATGTCGATGCAGATATAGATATTGCTGCAGGTATAGATGTAGAAATAGGCATAGCTGCCATAGATAGAAACATATGGATAGATGGATAGATAAATGGATAGATAAACTCAGATAATATAGTTTAGACAGAGAGACAGACAGACAGACAGACAAACAGATAGGTAGATAGATGCATGGATCCTGGATACATACACATATGCCTGCACAGATAGAAAGACAAAAAGACAAACAAACAAATGGGAAGGCAAATATAGATCTAGATACAGCTACAGACATGGAATATGTATAAAATAGATAGACAATAGATAGAAACTAGGTAGACGATAGGAAGAAAATAGATAGAGACAGGTAGAAATGGAGATAGATGGAAATAGATAGAACATAGATAGAACATAAACAAATAAAGATAGAAAACAAGCAAGTAAGAAAGAAAGAAAAATATATAGGTAGACAAATAAATAAATACGTAGGTGGGTAGGTAGGTAGGCAGGCAGGTAGGTAGGCAGGTAGGCAGGTAGGCAGGTAGTTAGGTAGACAGGTAGGTAGGTAGGTAGGTAGGTAGGTAGGGTAGGTAGGGTGGGTAGGTAGGTAGGTAGGTAGACAGCTAGAGGCAGAGACGTAGAGAGGTAGATACGTAGATAGGTAGATAGGTAGATAGTTAGATAGTTAGATAGTTAGACTTTAAGAAAGATTAGATAAAAGTGAAGAGGCAGAATATGTATAATGGGTAGACGAAATAAAGTAGATACAGTAGAAGCAGAATATGTAGCATAAGCCGTTTGGATACATTAGATAGGTTGGATGCATTAGACAGATTACATAGATACGAAGTATACATTGCGATAAAATACTGCTAAATGAAACAAGATATATAAGATGAGATGATGGCGCTAGATGATACGACTAGAAACCACGAGATAGATAGGTAGATAGATATAGATAGGTAGACAGATAGATAGTCAGATAGGTAGATAGGTAGAGAGGTAGATAGGTAGATAGGTGGGAAGGTAGATAAGTAGATAGGTCGATATTTCGATAGATCGATAGACAGGTAGGTAGATAGATAGATAGATAGATAGATAGATTATATATATATACAAACATAGATATATAGATTTATAGGTATATAATATAGGTATACAGCGAAATTTAATGAAATATAATGATATACAATGAAATATACTTATATATGTATACAATGAAATAAAATGATATATCAAGAAATGCAATGTTATTACAATGATATATCAAGAAATGCAATGTTATTACAATGATATATCAAGAAAATAATGATATATATAATGGCATACAGATATAGATAAATAAATAGATAAAGATATAACTAGATACATAGACAAACACTTAAACATGCCCAATGGTAGGTACTAGTAGATGCTAAATACATACATGCAAACTTGCGCACCTTGTTTCACACACACAGAAGCATACTTACATGCTTGGCTTACACAGGTGTATAAATCACGAGGATGTGGGAGAGAGGGAAGAGAGAGAGAGAGAGAGGGAGCGAGAGGGAGCGAGAGGGAGGGAGACAGGGAGGGAGACAGGGAGAAAGAGGGAGAACGAGGGAGAAAGAGGAAGGTAATGTCGCATAGGTATGAACCAGTTATCGATCCTGTATACTGTATACTGTATACTATATACATGCGCACACGCGCACGTGCATGCTACAAACTTTGGGCAGGCTGCGTGGGTCTGAGGTCTTGGCAAAAGCATCCAGGACGAAACATGGAACATCGCCGGGGAAAACCGCAGTTGCCAAGCCTACAAGAACAAGTGTGTCTACATTGTCTGGCACTTCTTGAAGATCACTAAGTCTGACTGTCGGCGCGCGTCCTTTAAACAAGCCAGATTGGCCAATGTGTGCTTTTAGAACACGGGTAAAGAGCTCGCCTCACCAAACCGACCCAGGAAGACCTTGAAGCCTAATCGTCATAGTCAAGGAACTTCCCTGTCCCACTATATACGTATGACATCGACATCTAATTATGTATAATATGAGATCTATGCGTGCATCTTGGATCCGCTTGCCGTTTCAATTTTGAATCTTCATTCTTGTCCACAATGAATCCCGGACTGACTTAAACAATTTTAACACGCGTTAGTGAAACTCGTGTTGTTGCCCGCATGTCACGACACCTCACGTGAAAAGCCACTTTCACACTGCACATTGGTCTTGCGCACGCTGCCTATGCCCTTCCCATGGGTTTTGCATTTTTTGCACTCCGGGTAGCATGCCGTTCCATTTTTGTGTTGCATGTCACATGTACAATACCATTGTGCTCTTGTCATCTCTCACACATGTCAGAAATGCACGTTTCATAGATTTTGCGTGCGTTTCAGAGATGTTGAGGTAATGTTGTTTCGTTTCACAACATTGTTTGAGAATGACAACATAATTTTCGAAAAAAAAACATGGAATGGGGTGGGGCGGGCATGGGCGAGGTGGGGTCGGAGGGGGGCGGGCAATTATTCTTTAAGCAACTTCTAACAACTTCCCACACACACTTGGCGCTTCTCTCTTAACTTTTGCAATTCAATTCCAACGCGCGCTTGATGCTACTCTCTAAACGTTTTCAATTCAATTCCAACACGCTCTTGACGCTACTCTCTAAACGTTTTCAATTCAGTTCCAACACGCTTTTGACGCTACTCTCTAAACTTACTCAATTCACTTCCAACATTGTCTTGATGTTACACTCTTCACTTTTTGAAGCAACTTCCAACACGCTCTTGATGCTACGCTCTAAACCTTTTCAAGCAACTTCCAACACGCTCTTGATGCATCTTGATGCTACGCTCTTAACTTTCTTAATCATTCAATCAACTTCCAACACGCTCTTGAGGCTACGCTCTTAACTTTGAAAATCAACTTCCAACATGGTCTTGATGCTACACTCTTTACTTTTTGAAGCAACTTCCAGCACGCTCTTGATGCTATGCTCTTGACTTTTTGAAGCAACTTCCAACACGCTCTTGGTGCTACGCCCTCAACTTTTCCAACCAACTTCCAACACGCAGGAAATTTGAATGATAAGATTCGAGAATACATTCAGAAGATAAAGAATTGAAATTTGGCACCTAGGAAAAGCTTTGCAAATGAAATATATTGATAACTTCGTTTTTTTGTGGAAGCATGGGAAGACACAAGTATCACAAATAACTATTTCGGTCCGTGTCAATTGCTTCAATACGATGCACAATTGCACAAATTACCCGCCGGGGGGAAAACCGCGCCAGCGTTGTGAGCGTTTTGAAAAAAAATGTCGTTTTCGCCATAGCGAAACTGCTGATTCATTCCCCAAAATGGTCTTAAAAATCCCCGGGGTTTTGAAGTGGTTTTTTAACGATGACCTGTAATTTACAGGGAATTTGTGCCTGAAAACTCGCGCGATTTTTTTCCCACTCACATTGCCACTGCCACACCCGGATGCTTCGCATCAACTTTGGGTTAACGGTTAACATGGCCGTTGGATCTGGTCGGGGGACTGCATGGTATGGCAGACTTAGATAGTCGCAAGTTAACATGAACGTTAACATCCCCACCCCCCCAACCCAGTGACGTAACGTGAGATGTGCATGTGACGCAAGTTAACATGAACGTTAACATCCCCACCCCCCCAACCAGTGACGTAACGTGAGATGTGCATGTGACGCAAGTTAACATGAACGTTAACATCCCCACCCCCCCAACCCAGTGACGTAACGTGAGATGTGCATGTGACGCAAGTTAACATGAACGTTAACATCCCCACCCCCCCAACCCAGTGACGTAACATGAGATGTGCATGTTCTGAATGAAATATGTGTGTTTTCAAAAACGGCCAAAACGCTGGCGCGGTTTTCCCCCCGCTGGCACAAAACTAGTTATTGCAACTACAATTGAAAAGGCAAGTTGCAAATTGCGCGGGGTCGCTGCGGGCGGCATAACCTTCTATATTTTTGCATGCGGTTTCAATATGTTTCAATGCAGGTTGTTTTGCAATATTTTGAGCCTGTTCTCGATCTACAGTCCTCTAATGTCCTCTCCGAAGACCCTTGGCCCTTGGTCATCTGACGTTCTTCAGCCGTGGGGGCGCCAAAGTGGACTGTTCCTTTGCACTGCGCACGGTCCAAAGATGTCAAAAGTGCTGCGTGGCTAAAGATCAACTTTAAGGCTAAAATCGCATGCAGCTTGGTTGCGAGTGACATCTGTGGTGCCATCAACGTACTGGGCACCGGAATCCAGCAATAGAAATGAATCTGTGCCTTGGTTCCGTTCAAGACGGTGTCAAATTAAAAGTTTTGTGTCTGATCGTTCAGTTGAAATCGACAAAACCGAGGTCGGCTCTAAGAGTCGCCGCGTTTGAAGCCTCAAGAGTTGAGGCCCCAGTCAATGTCAAACCATGTCAAACCATGTCAAATGGATTCCGTTCCGCCCAACACCTCCGTTTCCCCCACCATGTCTCAGCATCTTCGAGCCACTTGCGCAACATAATGTACAATGGCGCCATTCGCACCAAACCCTGCAATGGTGTCAAAGGAGTTGTCCAAGTAGCCTTGACTATCAAGCTGCTTTGGAAAGCAGATTTGACCATGGGAGTTCTCTCTTGCAATTTCCCGTCTCGGTGTGCTGCCAGATTCAGTGAGATGAAGGTACTGTACCGGTAGATTGATTCATTGAGAGAATGTCTGATGAACCTGTGACTCATTTGTGCGAAGCTAGGTGCCATGTTGCTTGGCTCGCGCAGCTGTCACAATGTGATCTACATCCATCTCGGTCCTGAAGACTCAACAAAATAGAACAAAACACCCCCTATATGCATCTAGATGCACTCAGTTTAGTGGAAAACAGCAGCTGGTGTGACCCTGTAACTTCCAACATCTTGCAATATCTTCGGTACAAGAAGATCAAGAGGCACTTTGGAACAGTTTGGAATGTTTGCAGCTGCGCTTCACTGGCTGGTGGCTCTGCATCAAGAATTCCAACTCTGATAAGGCAACGCACATTGCAGCACCATCTCGGCGATGTGCTGCAACCATGCCAGCCAACTCACTCTCATTCTTGCGAACCTGCATGGCCCATCATGATCATCATGGCCCAGCATGGCATCATGCCATTGGAGAAAAATATCAGCCGATGATAAAAGACATGCCAAAACCCATGCAATCTCGAGCGGCTTGAGTTCAGCTGTCGAAAGCTGACCGAACAGAAGCCACACCTTCATCGAAGCTACTGGTGAAGCTTGCGTTTCCTTACAAGAACCGTCAAGAACCCCACATCTCTTGAAACAACACACGCCGCCCCATACAGTAGGCGTCGATCCCACAATATATATATATAAATATATACTGGAGAACCAAAACCCTAACAATTCTTCGGGTCAACGCAAGAACCTGACATATTTCGGAAAAAATAAGAAAACCTCGGTTTTCGATTGAAGACCTCGGGTATTGATTTTGAACCCGTACCTAACCCGTACCTAACCCGTACTCTCAGAATGGGTTAAATAAAACACCCCGGGCTTTGTCAGAAATACAATATATTACAATATCATACAATATCATACAATATCCACAATGGTTTAGAGTTTAGATAATTTGATCTGTGCACTGCAGTGCTCTACCATCAAGCCGTTCTTGCCGCTTGAGTTGCTTTGGGCCCAGAAGCACCCATTGCCAGGAAAAGGCCGTAGTTTGATCCTTTCACAGGCAAATCGAACGAGTTCAAAGGTCATGAAGCGAAAACAATCGAAAACAGTGAGATTGGCTTTCGGAGCAGATCAAACATGGCCCCCCAGCTTCCCTTACAAATCCATACAAATCCAAGTTGCTTTGAATATCCATCCAAACCTTGAGCATTGTCATGTTGAGCAAGGGATGCAAGGGCTATAGCGCTTTCATGCAGCTCAATGAAACTGAAAAACACTGGCCTGAAGCGAACAAGATTGAAATCACCCAGGCAAAAAGCTGTGCTTGGGGGAGCTGTGATTTCTTCACAGATTTCAAAGGATGTTCACATATTTTCACAAGCATCATGAACAGTGGCATGATGAGTATGACAAGTATGAACAAGGAGCTTTGCATCCGTCGCGGGCTTTCGTCTGAAGCGTGGAGGCAAAATCCTCGTACGCACGGACCTCCACTTCCGCATCTTTCAAATGAGACAACACCTGACCAGTCAACTTGTGAAAGCATTCTGTAACTGCCTTTCAATGCCTCACCATGTCTCTCAGTATCATGATGGAAACTGGAAACATCTAACAACCTTCCTACTTATAACATCTTATAACATCTTCCAACTAGCTGCGAGACTCTTGCCTCTGGCGCCAACTTTCCGTGGTCCAGAAATACAGTAGCTCTATTTAGCTCAACCATCCCATAGGCCAAAACAACCTCAGGGGTGGCGGTCACAGTGTCTCTGAGTATGACTGCTTGCACCGTTCTTTCCATTTCCATCCATTTCCTCTTTCTTCAAGAGCCATGGTGCTGGTGTGCGATGAACATCGCCCCCACGGATGTTGAACAAATACCTTTGTGCGCCGACAAGCAATCAGCACAAGATACACATAGATATACATAGATATACAATAGATATACAAGATAGCAGAATGTCTGCCTTCCTGCCACCAATGTCATACAGCCCAAGCCCCAAGAATCTCAGCCAAAACCACCCAAAACAAACCCAATTATAGCACTGGCATCACCAAATGGAAGCTGTGTCATCAGAGTTGCGCCACTTCATCCAGTGAGGTCACTGCCAGTAGGTCAACTTGTTTCTTGGAAAGTTCATCTCTGACTTTGGTGAGTTTGTCTGCAACGGTTGCTCCAGCGAACTCGAATGGATGAACCCGAACTGCTGCTGAAGGCCATGCTGGTCTTTGCACCCAAATCTCGTCCACCAAATTTGGGGTCAAAGCACGAAGCTCCACTCCCACCTTTTCAAGCTTCGTCTGCAGTTCTCTCGCCCATGTTGCCGGATGCACATTGGGATCGATGCCAACCACATCGCCTTTCTGCAAGTTATTTGCAAGCCAGTCGCCGAGCGAAGGAGTCGAAGGCAATCCGCTCTTCATCAGTTTCCAGCTGCTACTCAGTTCGAGACTGGCCTGCTGAAAATACCGGCCATCTGTCCAAAGCAGGGCTTCAGAGCCAGTGACTACTGCACTGCCGGCTGAGCCGGTGAAGCCTGTGAGGAACTTCCTTCTGGCAAAGCAATCTGGCGGAACCTCGGACATGTGAGGATCATCAGTTGGAACAATGTAGGCTTGCAAGCTATGCTGCTTCAAAACTCCTCGAAAAGCTACAAGAGTCTCGGCATCTTCTGCGGCGCTGCGAAGTTGACACAGCCTTCGGGAGCTTACTCGGTGGCGCCACACAGAGGCCAAGCTGAAAGCAACTGTGGCCGTGGCCAGACCAACCCGGTGAAGCGCCTGAAGTCTCCCAGCTCTGCAAAGGACTGGCCCTTCAAAGCGCCGGAAAGCATGTAAGCCTCGTGAGCCCTCACGCGTTTGAAGGGCGATTGCAGAACGGTAACGTATAGCCCTCTCCCATTCACTATGGCCATGGCAGAATGAAGTGGGGCTGGCAGAGTGATAGGACAGGACGAAGCTTTGCAGTTTCATTTGCTCGGAACAGTTGAACAGTTCTAACTTCTAACTATGGCGAAGAGCCAGTACCTTGCGAGGAAGCTCGACACCTTTCCCCCATGACACCCCTGACATGGAGCTGTTTTTTGGGGTGGCACTGTGACTCCCATCAAGCAATAGCAGGTCCTGCAAATTAATTGTCATGAGCATATGTATATACACAGTATACACTTATAACATAGACCCGGGCAAGCCGGCGGCGGAAGTTTCCCAAACATAAATGACCTATAGTTCAAAGACAACCTGTCCCGACCGTGTCCTTCCCTCGACACTCCACACCTCACACTGCACACTGCACTCTTCGCACTCCAAACTTCAAACTTCACACTCCACACGTCACACTCCACACTTCTCACTTCTCACTGCTTCCTTCACACTCCAAACCTCACACTTCACACTTCACACTGCACACTTCACACTTCACAGTCCACACTTCACACTTCACACTTCACAGTCCACACTTCTCACTGCTTCCTTCACACTCCAAACTTAACACTTCTCACTTCGCACTTCACATCCACACTTCACAGTCCACACTTCACAGTCCACACTTCACACTTCACAGTCCACACTTCTCACTGCTTCCTTCACACTCCAAACTTCACACTTCTCACTTCGCACTTCACACTCCACACTTCACAGTCCACACTTCACACTTCTTACTTCTCACTGCTTCCTTCACACTCCAAACTTCACACTTCTCACTTCGCACTTCACACTCCACACTTCACAGTCCACACTTCACACTTCTCACTTCTCACTGCTTCCTTCCCACTCCAAACTTCACACTCCAAACTTCACACTTCACACTTCTCACTTCGCACTTCACACTTCTCACTTCTCACTGCTTCCTTCACACTCCAAACTTCACACTTCTCACTTCGCACTTCACACTCCACACTTCACACTTCACAGTCCACACTTCACACTTCTCACTTCTCACTGCTTCCTTCACACTCCAAACTTCACACTTCACACTTCTCACTTCACACTTCTCACTGCTCACTGCTTCCTTCACACTCCAAACTTCACACTTCTCACTTCGCACTTCACACTCCACACTTCACAGTCCACACTTCACACTTCTCACTGCTTCCTTCCCACTCCAAACTTCACACTCCAAACTTCACACTTCACACTTCGCACTTCACACTCCACACTTCACTCACACTTCAGACTTCACACTTCACACTTCTCACTGCTTCCTTCACACTCCAAACCTCACACTTCACACTTCACACTGCGCTCTTCGCACTCCAAACTAAAACTTCACACTCCACACTTCACACTTCACACTTCACAGTCCACACTTCACACTTCTCACTTCCCACTGCTTCCTTCACACTCCAAACCTCACACTTCACACTTCACACTGCGCGCTTCGCACTCCAAACTTAAACTTCACACTCCACACTTCACACTTCTCACTTCCCACTGCTTCCTTCACACTTCACACTTCACACTGCACTCTTCACGCCCCACACTTCACACTGCTCTAAACGTACGTCCAACAAAAAAACACTAGTGCCAAAATGGAGAAATCTGCTAACAAACCCATTTCGCAGCCTTCATGCAGCCACCCCAAGACGATTTCCGAGATCCAGCTGCAAAAGACAATAGTATTACGAATGCAGCCACAGCACGAAGCAACCTTGACGCAGCCATTACAATGCGATCTGCAGAGACTGAGTTGCAAAGCCCAATAGAACTACGCGCAACGGCGTCGGAAATTGTAGCTCCAAAACCGGATCTCGACGCCAGAGCGAAAAAAAGACGATTTTGAAGCACTTTTTAAAAGGATTTTTAGAAGGAAAATCGCTAGCGCCAAAATCGAGAAAATCTGCTAACAAACCCATTTCGCAGCCTTCATGCAGCCACTCCAATACGATTTACGAGATCCAGCTGCAAAAGACAATAGTATTACGAATGCAGCCACAGCACGCAGCAACCTTGACGCAGCCATTACAATGCGATCTGCAGAGACTGAGTTGCAAAGCACAATAGAACTACGCGCAACGGCGTCAGAAAGTGTAGCTCCAAAACCGGATCTCGACGCCAGAGCGAAAAAAAGACGATTTTGAAGCACTTTTTAAAAGGATTTTTAGAAGGAAAATCACTAGCGCCAAAATGGAGAAAATCTGCTAACAAATCACTGTGGCAGCCTTCATGCAGCCACTCCAATACGATTTACGAAGTCCAGCTGCAAAAGACAATAGTATTACCAATGCAGCCACAGCACGAAGCAACCTTGACGCAGCCATTTACACTGCGGGCGGTTGAACCCATCGGCAACTCATCCACCAGCAACACTTGCAATCCCATTTACATTGCGGGAACGATCCTAGAGTTGCAAATCACAATGGAATTCCATCGGCAACTCATCCACCAGCACCACTTGCAATCCCATTTACATTGCGGGAACGATCCTACAGTTGCAAATCACAATGGAATTCTGTCGACCGCACATGCACGAAAAACAGTTGAAACCCCATTTACAATGCGGAACCGATCCGAGACCGATCCGAGCATGATCCGACCACACACGAGACCGTCTCGCAACCGTCGCACCGCAGAGGTAGATCATCGAGGTTCGGGGACGGACTTTGTATGGAAAAACATAAGCTTTCGTGCATCTGCTATCTCTCAAAAACGCATTTCGTGCGAGACTTCCTCCAAAACTCCATCGGCAACTCCTCCACCAGCACCACTTGCAATCCCATTTACAATGAGGGAACGATCCTAGAGTTGCAAATCACAATGGAATTCCATCGGCAACTCATCCACCAGCACCACTTGCAATCCCATTTACATTGCGGGAACGATCCTACAGTTGCAAATCACAATGGAATTCTGTCGACCGCACATGCACGAAACACAGGTGAAACCCCCATTTACAATGCGGAACCGATCCGAACATGATCCGCCCATGATCCGACCACACACGAGACCGTCTCGCACCCGTCGCACCGCAGAGGTAGATCATCGAGGTTCGGGGACGAGCTTTGTATGGAAAAACATAAGCTTTCGTGCATCTGCTATCTCTCAAAAACGCATTTCGTGCGAGACGTCCTTCAAAACTCCATCGGCAACTCCTCCACCAGCACCACTTGCAATCCCATTTGCAGTGAGGGAACGATCCTAGAGTTGCAAATCACAATGGAATTCCATCGGCAACTCATCCACCAGCACCACTTGCAACCCCATTTGCAATGCGGGAACGATCCTACAGTTGCAAATCACAATGGAATTCTGTCGACCACACATGCACGAAAAACAGTTGAAACCCCATTTACAATGCGGAACCGATCCGACCATGATCCGAGCATATCCGACCATGATCCGACCACACACGAGACCGTCTCGCACCCGTCGCACCGCAGAGGTAGATCATCGAGGTTCGGGGACGCACTTTGTCTGGAAAAACACAGGGTTTCATGCATCTGCTATCTCTCAAAAACGCATTTCGTGCGAGACTTCCTTCAAAACTCCATCGGCAACTCCTCCACCAGCACCACTTGCAATCCCATTTACAGTGAGGGAACAATTTCTCTGCTAACTCTTTCTGTGACTAACTCTTTCCCTCACTAACTCTTTCTTTGACTAACTTGTTTCTTTGCTAACTCTTTTCTGTGACTAACTCTTTCCCTCACTAACTCTTTCTTTGACTAACTCTTTCCCTGACTAACTGTTTCTTTGCTAACTCTTTCCCTCACTAACTCTTTCTTTGACTAACTCTTTCCCTGACTAACTCTTTCTTTGCTAACTCTTTCTTTGACTAACTCTTTCCCTCACTAACTCTTTCTTTGACTAACTCTTTCCCTCACTAACTCTTTCTTTGACTAACTCTTTCCCTGACTAACTGTTTCTTTGACTAACTCTTTCTTTGACTAACTCTTTCCCTCACTAACTCTTTCTTTGACTAACTCTTTCCCTGACTAACTGTTTCTTTGCTAACTCTTTCTTTGACTAACTCTTTCCCTCACTAACTCTTTCTTTGACTAACTCTTTCCCTGACTAACTGTTTCTTTGCTAACTCTTTCTTTGACTAACTCTTTCCCTCACTAACTCTTTCTTTGACTAACTCTTTCCCTGACTAACTGTTTCTTTGACTAACTCTTTCTTTGACTAACTCTTTCCCTGACGAACTCTTTCTTTGCTAACTCTTTCTTTGACTAACTCTTTCCCTCACTAACTCTTTCTTTGACTAACTCTTTCCCTGACGAACTCTTTCTTTGCTAACTCTTTCTTTGACTAACTCTTTCCCTGACATTCTAAAAGTCCGTAACACGGAAGTTTCTCCCCCTAAACTTCCTTTGATAATCTTATATAGATATATATACTTATTTACATATCCATTCTATCCTTTCTTGTACTGCCACTGTCTGACCAGCACGTTCAATAGAAGCCGGTAAGTCAATCTGAGGCGTCTTTTATTTGCATGAATCTGTTCTCAATGAAAATGGTATGCACCACCGGAGCATGATACATCAGACATTCAAGTGTTTCATCGAACCCCTTCCGGCGTCCTCCTTGGGTAGAGTCAGCCCATCAATGGAGGTGAAACATGCATGTCCTGAATTTCCTGCACAGAGTCATGCTGGATCATGCTGGGATGTTGCGACAAAAGACTCAGGGAGGAGGAGTATGAGAAATTCATCAGGACTCAAATGAAAATAAAAAACTGCACAGAATCATGCGCCTGCAAGTATTCTAGTTCTGTCTGCAGCTTGCAAGATGTCTTAGAGTCTTGGAGCTGTCGTGCAGCAAAGCTGCAGCGTTCCAACTTTGCCAAGTCATGCCAAGATATGCCAAGTCATGCCAAGATATGCCAAGATATGCCAAGTTAGTCAACGCAGTACCAATGCCTGCAAGCGTGAGCGTCGTTCTTTCAGGCGCTGCTCCTTCAAGGCCTGACGAAATGAGGTCCACAGTCCACATGATTCAATGATCGCAAGCTCCAGTGCAATCCGGACTGTTCATCAAAGGATATCAGCACATTGCAACACATCACGAAGTAAATGCACATCCATAAAGAAAAAGAAACGTAAGTCACTTGACATCAAGTTGCATCAAACAATTCATGTTGAACAATTGTGGTATTCTGTGATATTCTGGGCTCCCTGCCATCCTTGTTCTTCGGGCGTCAAGTTCGGCCTGGCGCCGGACCTGATTACTGGCTGACCGTTCCACTACTTGCGCCTGGAGACCCTGTTCCATCCTGTTCCATATTATGTGTTCATAAGTTCATATATGTTCCATCCCGTTCCTGCATCCTCCGCTGAGCTCAAAGCCGTTTCGTGCTTCACTAGCTCAACGCAGCCCAGAATTATGCACTTCATGCCTGCAAATGGCGGGATGCTACAGTCCAGATGCGTTTGTGGCAACTGATGCAATACTTGTGAGTTCAGCGCTGCAAGGCGATCAGACATAGTAAGTGCCATGCTCTCCAAAATCCCGAAGTTTAGGAGACAACCGCATAGCGTAGCCGCATATGTCGCCCAAATCTCGGAAGCAAAAAGTACTGAAGATTCAATGACTTTCAGCTCAAACAGCTCACTCCCATTCCACCTTCAAATTGTCATTGTCAAACAACTGTCAGTTTTCAGGATCGCTTGTCACCGATTGTGGACCGACAACGCTGGAGTGCAAATGCTGTGACTGGCCATGAGGCCCCAGCACTGCTGCTTGCCATGTAGACCCCATAAAATCCAATGATGGAAATGCTGTACACAAAAATCCAGAACCTGAGGCACAATGTCGAGCAATCAGGCTTCTGCGTCTAAATAGGTCACGTAAAGGAATCAATAAGATCCAGGCACAAAAAGATAGACAGTCCACACGCTAACCTGTCCACATCGAGTAATATAGCCAGAACAAGAATCCGACACATTGCGTTTTCAGCATAGGCATCCGTGGACGGAGTTGGAACGATCCAGTGAGGCAATCGCTTCATACATATCGAATTCATTCATTTCACAAACATGCACAGAATCTAAAGGACAATCTTACAAGAGAATACAAGAGATGGATCGTAACACACATCACGGAACCATACAGCATCCTACAGTGTCCTACAGGTTCTGCAGTCGGATGTGCCACTGCCTTCACCACGAATTCGGGCACCGGCTTTGGGCCCCTCTCGGGTGGCACATACTCTTTGACAATCGGAGGCAGGGCCTGGGGATCATTGTAATCAACGCAAAGGATGGTGAAAATTGAGGGAGGCAAATATCAAACAATCTGCAAGGTGAATCACAGATAGATGTCTCATGATGTCTCCGCACCAACGTGCAGCAGGACGAAACAAGGCGCAAACTGAAAAGGCCATCGTGTCATTGAGCGGAGGTGCCTAGCAGTGAAATCAAGCAGGGGCTGGAGGACACGACACATGCTGTAGGGATCTTGGATCGTTTCGACCATGTTCTGGCGCGCCTATTGCATTAAAACTTAAACCTCTCCCTTCGGACATATTATCGCTCGAGTCCTATGTCGGATTTTGAGTGACAAGTCTTGCCCTGCAGAAATAGGTCCTGAATACCTGTAGACACATGACAGGTCTTCAGGGTTTGCTAAAGAGCCCCTGCTTTGTTTATAGAACCCCTCTTGAAACAAGAAGGGCTTTTCATCTAGTTTGTGTTGCATGCGCGCTGGGGGCGGTATGCTCTTTTTACGTTCTTGCATTACAGTTTTGCAAAACATGATAAAACTGCCAATTGATGCCAATTGAAAATTTACTGCAAGATTCCCACCGCTACTGCGTTTTTTGTGGGGGGTGGCGGGACATTATATGATATGATATTATATATATATATTTAACAGATTTATACAGTAGTTGCCAGCACCCAACTGCGGCATACCACTGCAACATCTGTCCGCGCACTTTAACGTTGCAGTGCTGCCCGTTTCATGTCTGCAGTGACAACTTGCGGTAACCTGCAGACGCACAGCGCTTCCGTACGGATTCCACCTACAAGCCTGAGCTTTCATTGCCTCTTTTGGGCAAAACTTCTGCGATCTGACTCAACGCCTTCACCAGTGTTTGGAGAAGCCTGCACAACCTTCTTCTAAGATGTCTCTAGTTCCGAATGTATCCAGCAGTCATTTGTGACGATTACTGGAGTTCCTATGAGAGCCCAGGAAAGACTATGCTGCTCAGCCATGTTCCTGGTTGGGGGGTTGGGCCTTTTTGAACGGGCCATAAGGGGCCGTTTTCGACAGGGCAGTATTTCCTTGGATAGAAAGTCGGGTGGGGTGAGGTAAGTGAGAGAGAGGGAGAGAGGGAGAGAGAGAGAGAGAGATATATATATATAATAGTATATTATAGTGTTTATCTGAACTTGCGCAGGCACAACTTACACATCAGCCGCAGTCACAAGCAGGCCTTTGGAGGCAATGGTTCCAAAGCTGATGCCTGGTTCGTGTGAAGATTATGAAATAAATCAATCATCATGGGTGCATCATCCAGATTCCTCACGTGGACCCCACTCCCTGCCAATTGCCGAACAATTTTCAGCAAAAGCAGCCTGGCCTTGGGGCCCCGCTCCCTGCTGTCCATTATGGTTTGCAGGGCCTCTCAGTGCCACACGAAGCAAAACTTGGCAGCCTCTTTAGTCTCTTTGTTTAGTTTGCTCTCTCTCAATACCCAAAACAACTCGCAACAGAAAAAAATAGAAACAGACTTTGTGAAACAAACCTGCAGATTTTGCATCTGACGTTGCCAAAACTAAATAAACATTTTGAGACATGAACTTGCGAGTTCCCGCGGTACACAAAGGATGGCAAAGGTTCAGAGGGCGGATGGACCTGCAGCTTGAAGTCAAAAAACACCAGAAAGACCACCAGCATCCAACAGCATCCATCCCCAGCTACTTCTTCACAGGTAGGGTAGACATGTTATATAATAATATATAATACCCTCTGGTAAACTAACATAGCTATTGAAAATGGCCATTTATAGTGAGTTTTCCCATGAAAAATTGTGATTTTCCATAGCTATGTTAGTTTACCAGAGGGTATCTTAATATAATCTACAGTGAATCTACAGTATAATTACGGATGTGTGTGTGTGTGTGCTGTGTCATACATACATGCCATGACGTGACACCAAGGAGGCCACCAGAGGCGGAGGCGGCTTTGCTTTCGCCACCACTGCCTGTGTGCGACGCAACTATCTACATCAGTAGCATACACCTTTCCAACTTTTCCTACCTTAAGTATTGTAAAGGTACTGCATTGTATGGTAATCACGGCGTTACTTTGTATCACTTCGTTTGATTCAATTGGTACTGCAAGCAGCGTTGAAATACAAGCTCCAACACTCGTTCCACAAAAAGCAGGCCTGCAGCTCACTGCTGGTAGCAAAATCCTCCGAAGTGAGGTGTGGCAAGATTTGATATGGCATGCTGGAGTAGCTGCAAATGCTACAAGTGACTAGCAGGTATCTTTGAGATTATGCAGATGATTATTATATAATATATTTATATTATTATATATTATATTGTATTGTATTGTATTGTATTATATTATATTATATTATATTCTAATCTATATATTATATTATATTACACTTATTATTTGCATTCTTACTATTTGAATACATATTTGTCATGTAAAAATATCTCATCCATGCATATTCATGCTGGCATATCTGGCATAAAATCCTCATCGATGAGGCGAAGATAGGCGAAGTCAGCGTGTGTGTCTTTCTGATTCTTTCTGAGTCCTGAGGCTTCCCCTTGGGCAAGACGATTGCATGAGCAGGTGGAGGGCCTGCAGCTTCTGAATTGGATCAGTTCCGGCAATGCAAAGAACACCCAAAGTTCCAAAGTATCCCAAAGTGAGATATGTCAGACTAAAGGACGATGATTAAAGGAAAACATGAAAATGCATGATAATCCCCGGATCACCCATGATGGTTGTCGATGACCAATTCGGATCTATATTTGGGGTCTACTTGTGCTATCCCTGCTATCCACAGCCGTGCTGGCATTGTCACTTTGGAATGCTTTGGATACCTACAGTAGTCAGTTCATGTCAGTTGCCCTCAGCATCTGCAAGTGATCCCCGTGGATGACCTGATGGCGGTGTTGGCAGCAAGGCTTTGCCTCGCACCTTTGGAGGTGGCTTTGGAGGATGCCGTGGCCTCAAGATGCAACTTAAAATATACACGTTCAAAATGGTCAAAAACGCACGAAAGACCAGTAACCAGCTCTTGGTGCTTCCTTTTCTTGTGCAGTTTTGGGTGCGTGGCATGGTCTGTGAGGGAAGCCGGCGGACCTTGGAGCTCTTGACATTCTTGATCATTCTTGACATCAATCTGGAATCATCTGGAACCAGTTTGTCGCAAGCTATGTTTGCATATGCTTGCTACGTGTATACTGTATACACCGTGGCTGAGATGGGCGCAAGTGAGCTGGAGTCACCAGCTTCTGGCCTTTCAGAGAGGGCTGAGAGATGCCGAGAGTGAGAATGAGTGACATCTGGCAAACGCAGCAGCTGCAAAGGCAGTGGAACAGGGCGGCTGGGTCACAGGATATCCCAAGAAGCTGAGTTACAGGCCCTTGTGCAGCCTTCGGATTGCTTGGGGGAGAAACAGGTACTCCGAAACCTAAAGAGCGCGGTGGGCCTTACCAGACTCCACTTAGTCAGAAGATGTCAGCAAAGTGATCTTTCCCTGCTGATTGTTGCGTGAGAGTGTGTTATCACTTCGCCCTGGCGACACTTCACAAGCATTTGAGGCACACACGTGCAGCATGCTTCCCTTGTGGTGCTGGGACCTAAGTCCATACCACATACAGTAGGCTCACGGTTCCTTCCAAAGATCTCCAAAGCAAAACTTACGCAAACTGGAGCCATCAGGATGGTACGTCAGATGCTTGCTTTGGCACATCCATCCTCTCAATGCGACCAGTGACATACAAAAAACATCCAAAAAGATCAAAAAACTCAGGTTACGCATTGCTATGCTGCTATGCATGTGTAAGCTATGTCACCATCTGTGCACAGTGCGTGGGGCCTGAGATTTGACCCTGCTAAGCGAAGCGGAGAGTTGTCCGCCCCCTGAGCCGGCTTAGAATGATTGTGACAAACGGAATCCTATAGGAGTGCCATGGAGTGCCTATAAATCCAATTTAGGAGTGCCAAAGGCCCCAACATTGGATCGTTTCAAAAACTAAGATGTGCGCCGGCGACAGCGAGACTGGCGAAGATGCAAGAGGAGACCTGCGTTAGCAGGAATGGAATTCAGCAGAATTCAGCCAAATCCTGATTTTCTTCAAACATTCCGAATCATTCCGATATATTTTGACCCTGGGCCATTATTGGTCGACAGAATCAAGCTCTTTGATGTTCAGCAATGATTCTGAGTGCGATTGGCCTTCCTGGAGCTGACGCCTGAGACATCCGGCCAATTCCGGCCATATCATGGCATACCGGAACTGCTCTGCTGATCAGCTTACATCAGGCTACATCAGGTTAGTGTTGGCATGAGAGCCATATATTGGGCATGCTGAGGTCCCTGCTTCTTGTGAATAAGCTTGCATTCCTTTAGGAAGTGCTAGCCTCATCAGTCGCTCAATTAACTGTGTCGGTTCAACCAGGGTCAGTCACCCAGGGCTCTAGCGGCATTGTTGATTTAGAAGATGCTGCTCTTGGGATATTTGGCCTGAGCTGGCTAGACATAGATGATCATAGATGGACACGCTAAAGAGATGTAGCAAGGATCCGTGGGAAAGAAGATCATGGGCGGACTATGGCGGATGCCAACAAAATCCAACGAATGAGGGCATCCGTCATTCGTCCGTCATGATCACAGTTTGCCGCTGCATGATGATCTACTTGTTGAACCAGCTTGAGATGGAGGCAAGTCCACTTCCGCCATCTCTAATTGCTCAGCCCGCGTTGCAGACCTTGAAAAATCATGAAGAACTAACCCCATAGCCCAAGGATTCTCTTCGGCTCCATGTCACAGAAAGCAGGGAACTTTGAGGAGATTGCGCAACCACAGGTCTTCGCCGCCTGTTTGGGCTTGATGAGGAAGCCTGCCAGGACATACCAGGACCCATCTCTCTCCCTTTTCGCTTCGCGGATTTGCCACTTGCGGCACTCTTCAAGACCCGTGCTCTAAATGAAGGGGGTCTTGCAGGGGATTTTGTAGCCAGGAATTGGGGTCACTGAGGAATTCTTCGAGCCCTTGAACGAGCAGCTGTATATGAAAAATCAACAATTGTGGCATTACATCTCAGCCAAGTTGAATCCACCGGCACATCCCCACCTCGTTGTCCCGTGCCTCCAGCAAGATTTGACTAACCGCACTTCCAACTTTTTCAGATCTTCCAGTGGAATTCAAGGTGATAAAATGCAATTAACTGCTTGGAGAAGTGTGACAAGGCCGAAGCTGGCATAGTATGCTCAGGATCTCTGACCTTAACCCGTCAACAAAGAAAGCGTAGCACATGTTGCAACATTTAAACTCTGAACATCTGAATAAACAGCACACCAAATAAAGGTTCGCTTGAAATCAATGGGTTCCCTGCCAACTGTGCTGCTCTTGCAGCTTCCTGCTCAACCTTAAGACTAAGGGACTAGAGCAGAACAAAATCGCTCTCAACATGGGTTGTTTCCGATAGAGGTAGGACAGCAAGTTGCTGTCCATGAGGAAGAATGTAAAAGCTGGAAAACCAACTGTCGCGATGTGGCAGTCACTGCCCATGCTGAGTTTCAAACATCCTCCGCCCTAGGCTCGACAACCTGGAGCGCAAGTGCCACAACTCAGGCTACAATTGTTACAAGAAAATGAAGAAAACATAGAAAAACATTGAAAAAGACATTAAATCCTTGAAAACATGTTGAAACCATCGGGTAACCGCTGGAGCTAGATTGAGGTCCCATTTGATCACTTGCTGGTCCGCCTCTTCAGGGCTCACTGCACCAGGCCTGGCAAGCTGAGGCGACACGAAGGGATTCAACGTGTGGATAGTGTGGATGCTATGCTTTAGTGGAGGCTTTGGTTGGCATTGGACAGCCCTACCACGTCACTGTGATGGCTATGCTCCCCAATGCTTTGCAGTTTTCCAATTCTGAGTCAACATCATTTGACCTTTCCTATGTCTCAATGATGTTCTCCCTGCAAGCATCTGAGATTGCAGCAGGGAAGCTGCACGCTGCAAATGGTCCTGCGGAGCCGGGTCAGGCGCAAGGAGAAGGATGGGTTCAGTTCACCGCCCCCAGACACCAAACACATTCATTCTCTCGAACTGGACTGCGGCTTATCTCCTCTTGAGCAGCCGCCATAGGCGTTGTTGCCGGGGACTTTGCCAAGCCTGTTGCGCGCGTGAAGCTCCAGAAATTCTTGACATTGAATCCTTGTGTCCACGGTTATTGTGTGCGGGGTCTTATGCCATCTGGTTGGCATTGTGCCACCTGGCATTGTGCCACCTGGCATTTAGCCATTATTGTGCCAATGCCAGAACTGGCAAACAAAATGTTGCCTGCAGGTCTGACGCGAGGAGTTGCATGTGGGGGCGGAGCCTCAGCCATGTGCCGTCATTTGCCTGCTGTGACAACATGCAGAATTGTTCGCGCTGAAAGGTGACAAAGGTGAAAGGTGGTGAAAGGAAGGATAGGAAGGGACAGCGCAGTCTCAACAGCCAAGGTGATCCAAGGTGTGCAGTCTCAAGCCGTTTGGCTTTGACGCAAACTGACGGAGATCCACCGCCCAAGTGTCATACCGGTGGTGGAGCTTGTGGTGAACCTCCTTGGTGAATCACAGAGCCTTCCATGGCCTTCCTTTTCTGCGCTCACTCTTGACATCTCTTGACTCATCCTCCCTCGGGCGCAGTTGCGATGCTCTTCCAAGTCACCAGCCGGACCTAATCGTGCTCAGCTGGCCAACTGTCCTGTCCAAACTTTGGTTACACACTTTGCTCGCTTGCACCAATCTGAACTTTCTACCTTGAAACTCAAAGTGGCTTTCACATGGAAAAACACCAATTATTGAACAAGTTCTAGCCCCGCCCCACTCTCTGCAAGACTGATCCTCGTTGGTGGTAGCTTTGGCAACGGAGGGCAGGCCCTCACCATGGATTGATTTTGGAGGGGAAACGAAATTGACAGTGATGTCACAATGCCCACATGGTGCACGCGTGCAGGCACGGATGCCATGTTCAAGCTCCCACCTTGGTTGATTGCTTGGAGGGGCCGGCAGTGCAGGCACTGCCATTGGGACTCCCTTTGGCGCCACCTCGTTGAAGCATGTTGCAGTACTCAAATTTCCAGACCCACAGATATCCACAGAGTACAAGCACACACTTCCAAACAGAGATGATAAAACCATGGGTCCGGGGCAAAGAACATCTTGTTCACAGGCGGCGGAGTCTTTGGCGGCCTGTGGCCAAGTGGCTGATGAAGAAGCTATACACACACAAAAAAAAACATAAACCAACCATGGATCAAAAGACTTGGAAGACTCTGCATGCCCAAAGAGTCTAGAATCCAATATGTTCGTTTGTAAAAATATTTCTCCTAACGTCAAATCCCAATGCTATGGGCTAGTGACTCTAACCAACACTGTAGACCTTTCAAGCAGGTTAGCCTGTATTACACCATCATGATACTGTTGATTTTGCATCCAGTTTTCCTTTCCTGCAGGAATTAGAGTAATTAGAAAGCCTATCCAACATCAGACGCGCTATGTGGCGCTACCGTTTGGGGCTAATGTGCGCTTTTGAGTGTAGAAGAATGTAAAAGACATGTCAGAGTACCTCACCTCGTGAGCACGCAAAAACAAAAAAAAACAAATCACCCCTTAAAGCTTACTCTGGACGTGGGAAAACCCTCGCCCCATTGACTTCACCTGATTGCTTCCACAACCAACTGAAGACCCATTTATCTAACACAAACACCTACTGCCCCTGAATCTCACAGTACATACACAAAGGATCAAAAAGGAACATGATATAGTAACAACAGAAGCGTGGGTACACCAGAAAATTTTCCTGGAGCCCAGCACTGATCCGCTAAACTAGATAATGTAATGATAATGTTTTGTTTTCCCTTCTGTGAAACGGGAGTAAAAAAAATTGATCGGTGTGTCCAGAAGTTGCAAGCTTTCTGCACAAACCTCGGATGGGAGAAGTTACAGAGGCATCGTGGCTCGGAAAAGGCCTGGGTCCAGTGGAGCCTTTCGGTGGAGGAGAAGGGGCAGGCTTGCCATCCGCAATAGCCTCTGGTGCCAATATGCTCAGCATCTTGCATTCTGCCATATTCTGTCATATTCTGTCCGTGAACCTAGTCCCGCGAAAAAAAACAAAATCTGAATGTGCCGCAGCCTTCAAATTGCCCTGCGGCAAGGGAGGCAGCTCGGGCAGTGTCAGGCCGAAGGGACCAATCCTTAGGAAGTTGACTGGTGGAAAATGACCCTTGCAGCTTTGCCCACGAGTGATGTTTGGTCACAGGTATCTGGGGCTTCAGCGTCCCCGGCGACATTCTTGAAAACTCTGAAAAACCTGGCCACTTGGAAGGGGTCTTCACGCTTCTAGCAACAACGAGATCTACCCTCAAGCTTCCCACGCATGATTATGTACATATTATATATATATATTAGTGGAAAAGATCAATGCTATGCAATTTCATACAGGTACGTGAACATATATCATTATTGCTATATTATGGTAGGTTACCAATTGGGAAAAAAAAATGCCAATTCCGGAAAATTGACACACCATGACATGGATATGCTTCGATATGCTGCTGTGCTAAAATGGCTGTGCTGACTGTGCTGTATTGTGCTGTCATATCCTGGCGCCTGTCGAAGCCAATTCTGGAATGTCAGACTGCGCTCGCGCCAACAAGTGTCCAGGTGGCGGAGGTTCCTTCAGCCAGAGGTGGGCCAACTCATCGAAGGAAAAAGTCACAGGATACGGTTGCAACTTGTGACAATGTCATACACATTGAACACTTTTGTGCAACATTTGTGCAACGCACACCCACTGCGTAACCAACGTACTCATCGTACACAGTTTGTGCCACGTCAGTTTTCTGGCGCAACCGGTGCCTGCGGTGGTCTTGGGAGCTGTCCAGGTGGCCGAGCAGGAGGCTGCGGGCGACCTTTCGCCAACGACTGCCTGAGACTCACCAGACTCCAAACAGTGCAGTGGAACTCAGTGGGTCGGGGGGATTCATCTGGGGACCACTAAGACGGCCATGGTTGCTAGATGTTTCTAGATTTTCTATAGTGATTATATGAGTGATTATATGAGTGATTATATAGATGTATTTAGCAAATGGTTTCTAGTATCCATCTCATGACCCACATGGCAACAGCATGTACAACACCGACTGCAGCCAAACACAGGCCAACTATGGCCAACCGAGTTTTGTTGAGTCTTATTCACCAGCCATCAAGAAGAAATCCTTCAAGTCACAGGGGTCTGCTAAGGGATCAAATATGATCAGATTATTTAGACCCAAAAAAACTGAACCGCAAATGAATGCAAATGAGCTATATCGCCCTGGCTCTGGGCCCATGGCCCTGTTGCTTTCAGCTGCAAAGTTGGCATGACCTCATATCTGGTGATATCCTGTGATATCTGGTGCTTCGATGGATCGTGTGTGCTATTGCTATTGATAACGGCCGCGACTTTAAGCCTGTGTGTGTCACGCTACTTGAAAACGCCAGTAGGCTGCGTAGGTGTTTGATATTGTTTGATAATATGGTATTCAATAATGACTTTTAATGCATTTGATCTGATTCTGTCAAGCAGTGGGATTATGGTGACTAAATGTGACTAAGGCGTCTGCAGGAAGTTGCAAACTATGCGGCGCTCGAGGCAGGACTTTGGGCTCAGGTGGCCGCACCTTACCAACCGCCGGCCTCATTGCACAATCTGGTCCAGTCCGATCCAGTCCATGTGAAACTGTGGCAATCTCAAGAGTGAATGCACAGAGCCTCTTGGGGTATTTGAAGACCTTTGGCTTCGCCTCAATTCACATGGCATGTAAGTCAACTCATGCATGATTGTGTGATGCACATTAAACATACGTATGTGCATTTCGTGGAACCGAAACTGGAAGAATCAACACGCATCCCCTGGCATCTTCAGTATTTCAAGATATTTCCAGGATATGTCCACGACATTCATCGAGATTCCACGACTCAACCGTCTCCCACCTGTTCTTTCAACGGAATTGGCTTTGCAGGTGCTGACCGCGGAGGCGGCTTAGCAAGCATCCTTCAGCAGCAAGGTGAATGATGGTGAATGATGGTGAATGATGGTGAATGATGGTGAATGATGGTGAATGATGGTGAATGATGGTGAATGATGGTGAATGATGTGCGTAGAAAGATCTGAAACATATTAAAACGTGATGAAACGCGCATGTACAGTACATGATAATATGATTATAGAGCAAACAAATGAATTGCGTGAAATGTGCCTGCTACACACACTGGTTTACGTGAATTTGATATGGGTGAGGATTCCCTGGCATCAAACTGCTGCTCCGCTTTGACACGGGCAGGCCTGGACTGTGGCAACCATTCAAAGCAGAACTCCAAGAACTGGACCTCAGCCAGTAGGGCAGAAGTCAGTCGGTCAGAGTCAAGAGGTGACTTTATGCATATGTCATATGTAGAACATATGTAGAACATTGTAGAACCCTGTCACTGGATGCCAGTTGAACTCAAAGCATACGCGCAGCTTTTTGTCTCGAAACCATCCCAATCTACCATCTTTTGAATTGCAGGATTCAGCAAGTGCCTGCGTGGGAAGTGCAGCCAGCTTTTCAATTGGCATTGTCCCTTACACTAGGTGAGAGCTACATCAACTCTGGCTCACCCACCCACCCACCGCTTGAGCTTGACAGAGACGTTCATGTTTCTCACTTGGAGTGACATGACAAAGAAACATGATTGCATCAAGAAGTTTCATATCAAAGTGCCTAGTTGGCCTAGTTGGCCTAGTTGGCCTAGTTCTGTTCTGTCATGATCATCGAAGAAGTGCACCGGAATATTCACTGGTTTGGGTTGGTTTCACCCGCCTCGGATGCACAAATGCCACATCAAACCAGCACACTTTGCCAGCGCCATTGTAGCCTCAGCCACACATAGCCCAGACATAGACAAGTTATGACAAGTTCCTGATCCTACAACTCCTGAAAACCTTGAAAACTGTCCATGTTGATACAATATTTGGGCAAGAAACAGATCCTATGAGGAGCCAGGCAGACCTCATAGACCTCAAATACGTCAACTAATCGACTGATGCTATGGCCCAAATCTGTGCTGCAAGCCGTACAACTAATTATTGAGTTGCTGGCATCGTGCCACTGAGCCTCACTTGGTTTTTGAATCTCTTGAACATTTAACTTGGGCATTTAAACTGAGTCTCGCAAGATCCTTTTAAAATCTTGATAGGTTGGTCTCACTTTAAGTTGACTCAGACTAGATGAACTTTCTTCTCCAGACTGCGGTCGTGTCACCCCGGTGATTGGCAATGGGGTCTTTGATCCGACAAAATAACCTTCCTTGGTGCAGGGGACAAAGGACGGAATTCCAAATGCTGGCTCAAGCATGTCCAAGCCATGTATGTACTGCAGTACATGATGAGTTCTGAAATGCTTTGTCAAGTTTGCAGGAATCAGTCTCAGTCCTGCCCTCAAGCTGCCATGGTCTGGTGAGAAGAGGCTAGTCGCCAAATCCAGACTACAGCATACACCAAGCTTGGGGTGACGCTGCCAAGCTACATATCCGAGTGCCTCCATGAACTGCATGACCGAACGCCTCATGTCATGTGGCATACCGCATAGGCGTCAATCCCTCTTGCATTCAAATAAACCCCCTCCAGCGAGGCTAGCGCAATGTTGGCACTTCTGGAACCTCTTTGTCGGACGTAGCCTGTGAGAGCGGCACTCAGGCTATTGAGTCACTTCTGTGTGTCTTGCACCGGCCATCTCCCAACAGGTCCACAATAGTCCAGTGTTCCAAAGCGAGTGACAGAATGGAACGTGGACAGGAATTGCAGCGCAGCCTGACCAAAGCCATCAAGCATTGCAACCGCCGTCTGCTTTCTAGGGCGTTCCAGAATATGGTTGCACTACATAGGTGTATCGGTGCATCGCCTCTTACTCTTGGAATGCGACACAAATCGGAGCCTGGGATGTATCAGACGACCATTTGTCACCATACTCAAGGATTATCAAGCCAATCCTGCCCGATAGTGGCAGCAAAATCTCGAAGCGTCACACCATGCACTTCTTTAATCTTGCAAATGCGGGTTCAATCATTCTCCGCCCAGTTCACCCCGCCACCTGCCACTTGAGAGTGCGCGATGGGCCCCTTGAAGTATCTGCCACTCGTGGCCTTCAACATCGACCTGTGAAAGGCAACTGGCTGGCAGCTACTTAGTACGTCTACGATGCGAACGTGCAAAACAATGCGAGAAAACCACCTTCAGAATGTCCAATATCCCATCGGCGCCCAGCAAAGCATCCACCTTGGGAGTAGAAGAGATGCATGGGGGACTTGGCTCCCAAAGCTTGCGGGTCTTGTTCTTCTCCTTGTTCTTGTTCTTGTTGGATCTTGTTGGTGCTGTTGCTGTTGCTGTGTTGTTGTTGTTGTTGTTGCTGTTCTTGCTATATATTATATATATTCCTGTTCTTCCTGTTATTCCTGTTCTTCTTGTTCTTGTTGTTCTTGTGGTTCCTCTTGTTCTTGTTGTTCTTCTTCTTCTTCTTGTTGCTGCTGTTGTTGTTGGTGGTGCTGGTGGTGTGGTCGTCATTGTCGTCGTCGTCGTCGTCGTCGTCCAATGTTCGCCTAGCTTTGACTGCCAAGGGTGGAGAGCACTAGCCAAAAATGTCCAATCGACAGGCCTGGCTGCCTAAAGCTGGCTGCTGTCTCGATCAAAGGCAGCCACAGTGGTCACGTTGACGACTTCCCAGGTGTTGGGGTCCTGACAGGACAAATCCTATCTGCGACACGAAGGCTGGCCATCTCGATCGGATTCACACGAACAGATTCAGTGTCTCACATGCATCTGATGGCATGGCTCTGTGCTCCTTGCACTCATCGGAGCTCAGCCAGTGTCCACCTTGCCAATGGTCTAAGCACAACTATGCGTGCAAATAGTTATATAATGTTATATATATATGTTATATAATATATATATATTGCGTTATAGTACACCAGTACCGGCAACCCATTCTGCCAGGGGGCGGTGAGTTTGTAAACCAAGGCTAAAATGAAATTAAAATGACGCTTATGATGATAGCTTATGGTTGATGATGGGCTGATGTTGGCAAAGGGATTCCCAAACAATAGACATCTGCATGCAGACTCTGGCAGACTCTAATAAGTTTAAAATACTTTAGATGTATAAACCCAACTTCCGAAACCCTTCTGAAGAAACGCCGCAGTGGGTAGAAGCAAGCAAACCTGTAGGCAAACCTGTAGGCAAACCTGTAGGCAAACCTGTAGGCAAACCTGTTCTACCATCCTTTCCCTTTGCCGTAACCTGGCGTTGGCCTTTGTAGATTCTCCAATCTGAGGGGGGGCCTTTGGACAGAGACCCACCAAAAAGATTCCAAACAGTATTTCTGCCCAAATCAAGCTTCAATATGTCAACAATATCAACAACTGCGTAATAAAAATCGAAGTCTTTATGGTGTTTGGTAGCTGTGTATTAACAATTAACACTTTCCAACTAACGCCAAGGCAATGACTGGACATATAATATAACATGCTTCAATTTGAAATGTTTTGCATGATCAGATCATGGTGAGATGCGCGCGGATTTTAGTTGTCAACCACAAAGGCGGCCATCGCACATCAACTTTTCAATCGCAACGAACCGGTGTGATTCACTGTCTTACCGGCCCTATTTATCAGCAGCATCCAGCATTCTGCTTCCGGGGTGACTGCTCAGGTGCTGTCTGGAATGGATTGGGAGCGGAAACGATGGTCTGAAATGGATTTGAGCTCCCGTAGCCCTCCTCAAAAAAATCGGAAAAACATGCGGCCAGTGCAACTGTCCGTCACAGCAAGCCAATCAAGCCTTACGGATCCTTGTCGTGCACAACACATCACAACACAGCCACAAAAGAATCAAACGAATCACAAAAGAAACGCAGAACTGCGGAGAACCCGTCCTTGTACTTCTTCTCTGCAGAAGAGCCTGCCGCAGTGAAGCCCTTGAGGATCGGATTAGTTTCTGGGTCGAAGCCATCAAAGGTCCTCTCGCAAAGCGGGAAAGGGATGGAAAGGGGTCCTGACATGTCCTGACTTCACCTAACTTCAGCTGTTCAGCATGTTCGAGCGAAAGTGCCGATTGCCGAAATTGCCGTAGCTAATTCGCTTTGCGTTGCCTCGGCTGACTCACCAAGATCCACAACGCACCTTCGCTCCCCATCCCAACATGTCCCAACTCACTCCTCCCCAAGGGGTCAAAGCCAAAGGTTTCTCCGCCATGAAGCCTCTGATAGTCTCTGTATAGATGCCAAGCAAACAATGCTCCGAGCAATTCAGCGCAAGGTGTTCCAATACCTCGGGATTGGACAACTCCCTTGCATTCATGTACGGAAGGCTTGCGACTTATTTTTATGAAAATGCGAACCTCTTTTTTGCAAGCCATTTCAGGCTCAACTTTCATTTCTCTCCGACCAGGTGCGAACAATCGTTGCGAGCAATTCAAGTTTGAGGAGGCCTGTAGCTACTGGGATGACGAATGCCAAAATGTCCAGCAATGTGCCAAGAGCACAGCCAGCTCCCCAAATCGATATGTATGTGATGTTCATCTCCTGAGCTCACTCCGCAGTCTCAGCTGGCATGTTCAAAAAGCTTGATCCAACGGTCTAATATGGTCGACTTTGATCTAGTTCGATGTGTAAAGTAAACAGGATGCATAAATTTTATCATGAGTTTCTTCTATACTCTATGGGATATGTTATACATACCTATATAATCCTATATGGATATATTGCAAACGTATGTACACGCGCAAACACACACTGTGGGATATATAGATTCGAGCGTAGTGAGGAGAAGTAAAAGAGCACCACCAATTCCTGAATGAATGGCCTGAAATGAATCAAAGGACAAAAGGCACAAATGTCGAAGTTGAAATTAAATTGATTTTGTAAATGAATTTGACTATGAATTCCGGTTCTCAGCTTAGCCGGATGCTATATCAAAGTTACCTAGTTCCGGTTCTCAGCTTAGCCGGTTGCTATCCTCTGATGCAGGTACGCTGGGTTGATCAGACCCAGTATCCCATGATTGTGGTAGCTTCGTTGAGTGCGGTCCCACAATCATGCCGCACTCCCCTGCCAAATCAATATTTAGACTGCATGTTATTAGCAGTGTACACACACACATGGCCTCTCAATATGAGAGGCAAATCAGTAAGAAGCGCAGCAAAACTCTTTTTATCGACACCACTGCATCAAAGATTGTACGGGTTGGTCCTTCCAAAGACTACGAAGAAAACGATGGGTTAAACATATATTCGCATCAGTGAAAAATTCAGGAATTCGTTGATACATAAGGCCCAGAAAATCCTGCACCTGGTCCAACTGAATTTTGGCTGGAAAAACATGAGAACGAATGAGGCGCAGACGAGCACAAAGTCCACTCAGGATGGTACGAGAAGCAAACTGGGATCCCATACTGGCACCCCGACATTGTCGAAATACTTGGCTCCCGACTGTGAAATACGAATGATCCAACAAATATTGCACCAATCTAGGAATATCACGCAAAGTAATAGTCATATATTGTTTCGTCTTTTCTCTCCAAGATCCTTGAAAAACACGAGGAATCCGTTCCAAACGAACAACATGTGATTGCATAACAGTATCTAATCCTTGTTCACACTGAGAAGCAAAGGTGAATATAGCGAACTGTATGGCGAACAAATTACGATCATATTAAACTTGATTGAAAAAGCCAGCGATATCTGTTTGACGCAAGGAAAGGGCAGTTTCTGCAAAATCCTCCATAGAAAATAATGCACTGATACCAGTAATGACATCTTGAACATGTGCAAATTCCAAAATAGATCCAAAAACCGCATTGAGGATGGCAATCAAAATAGTGAATGAAGCACTTCCCAATTTCCGAGACCAGGCGGTAGTAAAATGTACCCCTTACTCAATGTAGAGCGTTTGAAATCAATCCCCCAGAAATACTGAGAGCGTAACAGATCAGGAGGTTGTTGTTCAAGGTTGCGAAGAACTTGTCCCGCAGGTGGAGAGCAACGATTGAAAATTGCTGCATCTAAGAAAGTCTTTTGTAATAGTTCATGCCATTGACAAGGACAATGTACTGTAAGAGAGTGAGGAAAATGATCTGATGGAGAAATGATCCAATGACGAAGCAAATTCAAATCACGTCTGACTGCTGGCAAAGTCCAAACAGAGGCAGAGTCATGATCCTGATGAAATCGTTCCCATTCTTGAGTTAAGAAATATTGAACGTGATTGGTATTGCACATGCAGTGGAAAGAGAAAGGTTCATTCATAGTGCGACACAAGCGCCATAAAAGAAAACAAAATTCAGTGTCGGCTTGCACTGTCAGAAGAAATCGTGAGCAATCAAATTTCTGTCTAGACGAGTCAGAACCCAAATGGTACAAAATGTGAAAATCTGCACATGGTTGTGTAATCGTTAAGATAAAAATCTTACCTGTGTCTTTTGTGCACGATGACGATATCGACGTACTATCAGGGTACATCGGTGCATGACCATTTTGTCACATTCTCGTAGCCATGTTTCTGGGGTCGTGAACAGGGGTGAAAAGGAGGTACCAGGCAAGCACAAAGAGACCACAGGATCATCTTGAGGACTGCATGCAGTTTGAGTGGAGCAAGCCTGTTGTTCGCCCGCCTTGAGTGCCATGTCCGCTGCTGATGCAAACGCCGCGGCAGCTGCAGCCCCACCGGCCGCGGCTGATAGGGTTGCTGTGCTGAAGGAAGAGCGCAAAAATTTGAAACGCCAGTTAGCAGCAGCCACCAAAGAACTACAGAACCAGGAGAGTGCATGTAAATGCATGGATACGGTGTCTTTTCGTGAGTGCAGGTGGGACATGTGAACGCTGAACCCATGTTGAAAGACATGTACTCCATAGCCTGCAGGAAAGGAAACGAAGACGTCTTCTACGACAAGCAGGAAAGCTGGATGTGAGTGATTTGACGTGGCTGCTGGCACGTCGCATGCATCCAATGGCAAGCCCGCATGAGTAGAGTCAAGCCGTGCACTATGTGGAAAGCGCCATGCCAAAGACATAGAGCGCTTGGAGTGAGAGCGGCCATGTGAAGGTTCGAAAGCACCATGCCAAAGGCATGGACACTAGGAGGGAAAGCTGGCAACCGCAGACTTGCAAGCGCCATGGTCAAGACATAGAGCGCTTGGAATGAGACCATGTCAAGGCTGAAAATCCCAATGCCAAAGGCATAGCGCGGCAGGAGTGAAAGCTGGAAACCGCAGACTTGCAAGCGCCATGTCGAAGACAAAGCGCTTGGAAGACATGCGCGGTCCAGAGACCCCATTTAGAAGACATCCAGGGATACAACGCTAGATAGACAAGATATCTCCCCAAGAATCTTCCCACACCCCACCTCCAAAACATCACCTCCCCAAGAATCTTCCCACACCCCACCTCCAAAACATCACCTGACCCCCCCTGGTATATTATTATAATTCCCAAACGGGGTATGCGGTCCCGCTCCTATAAATTCACAGGTAAAGTGGTCCCGCCGACGGCGGGACCGGTCCCGCCTGCAACCTGGAATCGTGGGAATTCCCACATTTTGCGGTCCCGCCGCGGTCCCGCTGCGGTCCCGCCTATAGTAATTGCGTACTGTCGCGCGCAGCAGCAACAGCAGCTTTAAGACATTACCCCCATGCACATCCTTCCCATTCCATCATTTGCAGCGGCCATGTTCCCACATCACATCTACCTCTTTTCCACCCCTTCTTCCAGCTTCCATTCCTTTTTTTTGCAGTGCTGTCGCAGCATGGCGTCTGTGGATCGCACGTGTGCGAAGCGGCAGCCGGAGAGAACTGCAGTCACGTCGGGTGAAAACATGGGCCGTGAGCGGTTTTGTTTCTGGGGCAGACCGTCTCTGTAGATATTGCTACTCAGACACGTGCCTCTACCAGTCACATTTCTCTAGCGGAAATCATCAGCAGCATTCCTGGGTGTCAACGGTCGACACGCTTTTTCCAGACCTGTGGGCCATATGCACGTCCAGCTGTTTGTGACAATGGAATCCTAGCAGACTATCTGCTCCATGTGCTTTTTTCATGCTCAAGCCTGTGACCTGCATTCTGCTTTAAGGACGTGGTGGTGAGTTCCTTGCTGTTTCTAGTGTCAAGCCCTCTCCAAAGGAAATGGGCCACCTGACAGCAAAGCGGGGTGTCGCAAGCAACTGACGTAGCACATCGCATTGGAGCCTTGCACCCAAGACATGCCATGCAGACAGGATGTTTCCGCATTGCACTTGGGCCGAGCCATGAGATCCTCCACGACACGGAAGCGTGCTGCGTGCGGGTCGTTGCGGGAACTGCTGCAAGCCAACCAGCTCGAGGTGCCGAAATTTCGGGGTGAATTGTCTCGCGCCGACTTTGCAGCGCAACGACAGCGCCTGGAGAACTGCACCTTGTCTCCGAGTGACACTCAGAAGCTGCGAGACATCATTGACCTCTATGAGGTGCCTCACCTGTTTGTCGGGTGCTAAAGACTGCGACCCGTTGTTCGGGTCACTTTTCACATTTCTCACCCTGCTGCGACTTGCTCAGCCGTCCTGGTTGGTGCTACCATTCGCTGGGTTTGCACGGCCTTCTGGTTCACACTGTTTCTAATCAGCTTTGCAGGGCGTTGCAGCAGCAGACGAAGCTGGTGCAGCAGCATCGACCCAAGAGGATGTGGATATGGCAGCAGCCCCAGGACCAGGTCAGACCGCAAGTAGTTGCCATTCTGTCCCTGCATCCGGGACGGTGCTTTCCGGAGGGTAAGAGACCTAGAGCAGTGGATGGACATGACATGCATCAGTGACAGTAGGCAAGCCTCAGCCTTGCATGCAGATGGGAGAGACTGAACTAGAAGGGGTATAGTCATGAGTCCTAGTCGCAGCCACTTCATTGTTGCACATTTTTCACAGGTGATGCCCGCCCTTTTCGTCTTCGAGCACGAGCAGTGTTGGTAACCTACAATTCCTTGCAGCTGCAGCTGGCGGATTTCGATGAGTTCCTTACTTGGCTTGCAACGTGTGAGTGGGTCGGCAAATGGAGTGCCACGATGGAATCAAGTTTGCGTTCGGAGGATGCTGGCCGTCTACATATTCATTGCTTCCTGGAATTCGCCCGCCCCGTCGACTGGCAATCATGCACGGCGCTCCGTTTCAAGGGCATTCAGCCCAATCTTTCCCCATGTCGGGCACGGGGCGCACGCTGGCGAGATGCGGCAGACCAAGGACATTTTTACGTTTGGGCTGCAAAGGTGCATCTCCGTTGGGTTACCTTGTAACGACATTCTATCTCATGTTGAAAGTTGCAGTTCATGTAGGCCACCTTTGTCACTAATCCGATCGTGTGGCAGCAGCATGACGTAGCTTCTAGTTGATCATCAGTAGACCTGGCAGCTTTGCAGCAGATCGTGTTTGCAGTCAAACATTTTGTAGGCCACCTTGGTCTGGGCACCCACGAGCCTGATTTGGATGAACTGAACTCATTGGACCGCTATCTACGTGGTTGGTCTTGCATAGGCAATCCTTCTTCTTTGTACGCATTGATTCAAGAT